TTGGGGCAAAACAAAAGAAGCGCTGCAAAACAAGATTAATTTCCCCTACTGAAGAGAAGAATGCAGAAGCACCAACAATCGAAGAGAAACAAGTCCGTTGGGGTAAATTAAACGAGGACTGAGGTGGAAACCAAATAAATTGTGTGAGACGGCAGACATTCACCAAAAGCCAATGGATTTGGAAAGAAAGCTTATATTAAGCATTAATATATCCTTTGGGAATCTTGAATAAGCCATAAATTTGAAAGAGGCAGTTTGAAAAAAACAGTAACTACTAATAAAAAATAAACGAAATTCAAGAAAAATGATTGTTGGAGTAGGTTTAAAATTTGAGTGCAACAATTATTTGCAGAGGCAGCACAAGAATCAAATTTAATCAAGAACACAGTACAAAATCAGAAGCAACAGCCAACCTGTTTCAATGAAGAAAGGCTGGCAACCGTAACGCTCGTTTGAATCCCTCAACTCCGGCACACACTGGCCAGGTTGGAGATTTAGGCTTGTGACGAACTCCACCACCGCCTGTGAAATATCCAGCATAAGTCTACTGCTCGAGTCACCTTCTTCCTGGTTCGCACCGAAGTGTACCAGAAGAGAGTGCAGTAGATAGTTTATGCCTCCCACAGAGCTGAATCCGAACCACTCATTGGTAATGTCTTGAGCAGAATTAGGCTCCAGAAAGAGATACTTTTCCATCTCTAAGTCAGGATAATCATCCAACGAGTCCAAAAATATCAAAGCCGCCCCATGGAGACAAGCGTTGAAAACACTCGCCCGAGAAAGGTCATTCCTTGAGTTAACAAGATTTTGCATGAACTCAACCCACGCCAGGAGATCACGAATCGTTGGAGGGGGTCTCCTGCACCACATGGTCTTTTGATCCATTCCACATACCGCTTCACTACAGCCTCGTGCAAACCACCAACAGAAGTCCACCACAGCCGCTGCCAAAGGCTCAAGAGAAGGTGCAAGAATGGAAAGATAACTTCGACGAAGATTGTGGAGTGCAATGGATCGCCAGTCATCCTTTTCCATTCTCTGCTCCATTTCTGAGCTAGGTTTCGAAGTGTTTTTAAAGATGAAAGCAGGCGAAGGGCACCAGATCTCAGTGAAACGATTTCGAAGAGCAGGTGAAAGTTCCTTCTTTGCATAGTCTCCACCTGGATTCATAGTAGCAAACAGACGAAAGTCGGGTGCTGCAGTGATTTCGTCACTGGAGGACAAGGCCCCACCGCCTCCACAGCGCTCGGCTAGACAGAGCTGTCGGTCCGGTTCAAGAAGGCTATTGAGGCGTTCGAGAACGGCGTCGTCGGCGAGTGAGATCTCGTCAAGGAGGAAGCATTCACCCTGCACCATTGCAACGACCAGAGGTCCATCGACCCACTCAAAAAGGCGATTTTCATTGTCAGTGCCATTATCGCCTTCCGAGTGAAAGGTGCGCACCGGTCTCAGGCCACCCAGGAAGTCCGCCGCTTCAGTGTATTGGTGGCAGTTGACGCAATGCAACGTCTTTCCATGTAACTTCGCGAATATCTGACAGATTGTTGTTTTGCCGCATCTACGCAGGATCGAGACATAAATCACGTTTATTAGCTGACGTATTCATGAACAGTGCAGAAAAAGCATAAAAAAGAGGAAAAGGTAGCAAAATCATCAAACAGGAGGATTTGAAACCAATCAAAAGTAACCAAATTCCACCATTCCGCACATTCTCAAAGGTGTCGGAGGCATAAAAGGTGACCAAAACATAAGTCAACATAAGTTGCCATAGTCAAACCTGTTTGAAGCTTTGGCTCAATCGAGGGGGCACAGTATTAAACGTGGAGTCGTTTACAAGTGCAGGGCATCGATTATTCGAAGAAAACAGCTAAAGTCGTACATCTCTCTGGAGAGCAGATACACATCGTAATTAACAGGTTTTTGTAACGTTGCCATTTGAAAAACCAATGCGCAACAAACTTCGATGCTACGTTTTTTAAACTAGGGACTAAGTAGGTGTCCGCAAGAACACAGGCAAAGATGCTAAGGAGAGCAGGTGGCAATGTTATATCGTGGCAGTGGTTTTAAGTTTTTTTCGCCGGAACAAAGGCCTTACATTCACTTTACAAAAGAGCGCTTTTGGTAAAATTGGGCATCCAAACGTTAAGGGTTCCACTAATCTCCCAAAATTAATACCTCTACCAAACTACTACTTTGAGACCGATTAAGTATATGACAACCAATGCCCACCGATTTCTCCCACCTCTTAAAACTAAATCACAAAAGTAGTTGCGAATGCCTTACCAAATTAAAA